GCTTGATCTAGTCTCAGCCGGTCAGACCACTTTGTCTTAAAATACAAGATCGTCAGAATTGTGACAAAATTTCTTTTCAGAAGCTTGCTTTTCTATTTAGGAAAAATGGCTTCTCATTAAAACCATCTTTAGGAATTTTCCACAATTCTATGCAATCATAAATTTTAAAACTAAATGGTCTCGCAGCCTAAGACTAGGTGGAATTATTGAAGGGGGTCACAAATTCATTGTTCTGCTCTATTTACCCAAGTACTATATCACGACATGCAGTGCTCTCCTCGGTCCACTTGAAGGCAGCTTTACCTTTCTGACTCTAACACCATCTGGTTGTACGGCTTAATTGAGTGAGATCTGCAATTAGTGGCACATTAACTCCCTGCTCTAATCCCCATCTCTGGCACAGGCCTGGTCTCAAATGCAAGCAAGTGCGTCAAGCACTAAACTCTTCCTTGTGCTCTCAGAACCTTGTGGCACATAACCTCCAAAGAGGTAGGAAGGAAACACACCACATCCTCCAAAGAGGTGCGGAGAGAGAAAGAGAGAGGAGGGCAAGAGAGAGAGAGAGACGGCAGGGGGGAAGAGACCGAATGAGGGGATAGAAAGAGAAAAAAAGGGATATAGGACAAGTCAAAACAGTCAAATGTAGTGTCTGTTTTGACTACAGAAAGCAACACAACACAGAAAGCTCCTAAACGTTCCGGGTGTAAAACAGAATCCTGTGTATATCATTGCATTACGGCTCTCCCTCAGCATGCAGGGACATATGTTCAAAGTCTGTCTCTTTTTCCCAGAGGATGTGCTGTCGTTTGCCAACCACGGCTGGCCTTCCATCGCTGCTTTACCTGAACATCACCATGGCGATGAGCGAGGAATAAGCAAGCCCATTAAGACCATTCAGACCTCTTGTTGCCAGCCACATTAAGACGCCCTTTCTTTTACCATTATCTGCTAATTGGGCCATTAAACTGCTCAGCAGTCTCTTCAGAGAACTTATTACTTCCCCTTTCTGCAAAAGCACATTTCTATACTTCCCTGTCATTTGGAAATATGCCATAAATTAAAATCCAGATATTGGCTTTCCTCTCCCTCTATTACTCTCCAGCTTCCTTTAATCTGGCTCAACCGTGTGGTATAATCCTGGGTTCAGGAGAGAATTCCCTATCTGGGAGCAGGAGGCTTTTTCCACCAAGTTGAAGGTTTTCCTTCAACCATACAAGTTTACAGCACAGAAGACAGCAAATTCAGCCCATTTTATCTGTGCCAGCATGTTTCTGTTCCATTTATTGTCCTTTCCCCCATACCTCTGTAGCTGACATGTGAATACCCTTGTATTTCGAAGTGGACCAGGGAAATTTTGAGCAGAAAAGAACGCCATTCAGCCCTTTGTGTCCATACTGGCTCTTTGAAAGAGCGATCCACTCAGGCCCATTCACCTGCCTTTTCCCCCCCATACAAAAGGAGATTGCATAGAATCAGGAAAGAATTCCTTGGAGCTCATCTCCTGGCTGGTTGCGGCAATCGTTACTGCACAGCGTGCAAAACTCTATCCTGCATGAAGGTGCTATATAAATGCAAATTGTTGTTGTATGAGATTTCATAAAAATGTAGGAATTGCTTTGGCGCCTTATCAAACATCAAAGTGCCAAAGTGCTTCACTGTAAAGTGTAGCGACTCTGTATTTGTTGACAGCACATTTAGTGCCTTTTCCCCATGCCCTAGGGATTAATGCCTCATTATTTACTGTGGGTTCACTATGATTCTCTTCCCATATTGCTCACCCTTAAAGATTGTAAGGAAACCGAACTTCTAAATTAAGGCTGTACAGTATTTAAAAAATTGCCAAATTCCAGATGCTCTGAAACGGTGAGAGAACAACATCAATCTACATCCAGGTGGAATTTCTTCTCTCATCCATATGTAGGTTTATCCTGGGAGTGCTTAAGGACCACCGTACGTGCCAAAGAGTCAGAGGACTCTCCCCATGAGGTGCAGGCACATAAATAAATCAAGTGCAAAGCTTTTTCTTGCCACCCTCTGTCTCAGTGCAAGGGGCCAGTGGCATTGCTGTGGGCTGATTGCATTGGACACACAGGGCAGAGCCCAACACCTCTGTCCTGCAGCAATAGTGAAGCTCACTGTCTGTCAAGTCTGGAGAATGCAAAAATCAGAGGAGAAAATGACCTTAAAGAATAGTAAGTAGGTTGTCCATGAAAATATGAAGACAAAGAAAGAGGGATTTTGCAAAAAGCAAGTTTACATGTACAATATTGAGAGTGGCTACCGCCTTGTGGTAACTGTGAGTATTACACAATAGTATTGATCAGCTCTTCCCTTTCTCATGGCAACTATATGCTCTTCCTGCTGCATCCCAGGCAGAGCCCATGCTCTCTCTGTGTGTTTAACGGGGGAACCAGTCTGTCAGGTGCCCTCTTTTTTAGACAAAAAAAATCAAGGACTTATGATCGTTGCTATCTTTTTAAACACTGCGTGAAGTGGGGTATTATAAAATTCAAGTTGTTGTGGTTTTATCTTTCATTATTGTTGGAACCAGCGATGGCTTGTGGAAGAGGATTTGGAAAGGAGGTTACAGAGTCCAGCTCTGCCAGGAGACTGAGCCCAGACACATTTACTTATTGTAGCTCAAGTGCTCTTAGTTTAAGATTGATGCTAAAACAATCTATTCGATCCCACTACACTATTCGGAAAGAGAAGTGAGTTTCTCAGGTTCATCTACAAAATACAGTCACTACTCTTCTCAGCAAAATACTGTGAAGCACTTCAAGACATCTCGACTTGATAAGGTGTCATATCAAAAGCAAGGTTTATTATTATTATATAAAATGCAAGGAATTGTTTTTTAAATCCTCCATCTTCCCCAACACCTACAGGGGAGCAAAATTCCACCTAATTCTAGGTTTACTCCGTTTATTTTGGCATTTCAGAGTGACCAGTTTGGCAAAATGTTGAACTCAATCTTTTTTTAAAAAAAACTCTTAAAACAAATTTAAAGGAAATGTAACTTCAAAATTTAGGCAGTATTTAAGAATTTGTCAAATTCTGCCCACTGCGAAATGTGACAAAAATAAGAGAAATGTGACAAGTCTAGACCGGGTGAAAATTCTCCTCCACAGAGAACAAAATCCAGGCAACATCCTCAATGCCCTGCTTCAGCTCTGTGAGAGCGAGTTCCAATCAACGCTGCCTTTTTTCTGTCATACGAGTGTCAATGCAATTTGTCACTTGCTGGCTCCTCTGTGCCAGTATGCCAGAGCTGTCAACACTAACATACCTCTTCTCCCCATTTCTGTAGCTTAATCCTGTAGTGGAGTCCTGTAGTTTAGTGGTTAAGAGCCTCGCAAGCAAGAAAATCTGGGTTAGATTCCCAGCAGGGCGAAACGTTGGGCAAGTTTCCTTACTCCACTCTTCTGTTTACCTAGCAGTAAGTAGGAACCCGCTTGTCTGGGGATAATAATTCCTTCAAAAAAAAATAATTTGGTCACTTAATCCACAACTGTTTGTGGGACACTGCTGTGAGCAATTGGCTGCCGAATTTCACCCACAAAACAGTCAATTCACTTTACAGCATATTCTGTGAAGAGCTTTGAGACGTCTAAAGATGGGATAAGGCACTATATCAAATGCAAGGATTATTATTATTTCATTTTGGTTTATAGAAAGAACTCTTCAAATTAATAATTCTTTACATTTATCCAATTTTTGAACCATGTGGCAGGTAGGAATATTTCTAACTAGTTATCTAACTATCTATCAAATGACCGACCAAGGATGAACCTAATGGTAGAATAAAAGCACAATTATTCAGAGCCTTACTTATCACAGGCTTGTAATGATTTTCTGTTCTATTAATTCACAGAATGGCCGTGACTTTATTAGGATTTAATTCTGAATGCGTGGCAAATCCGGCCCTCATTAAGTCAGCGGTTATTGGATCAGAGTAATTAATTTTCCGCCTGCATATGAGATTCTCATCAGTGAATGAAGCGATGATTTATTACATGCAACTGTTACGTTCGAGGTTTGTGTCCACACCCACTGCTTCTACTTCATTTGAAATGGTCATTGCATAGAATCTACAGCATGAAAACAGGCCATTTGGCACAACTGATCCATACCATGGTTTATATTCCACCCACCCTCCTCCCTTGCCTCCCTCTATTCCTTTCTCTCTCACGTGTGCATCGTTTCCTCTTAAATAGGTTGATTCTTTCCGCTTCAACCAGACTTTCGTAGCGAGTTCCACATTCTCATCACCTTCTACATACAGAAATTTAATTTATACACGTGCCCTTTAAACCCATTAGTGGTTATCTTATATTTATGCCTCCTTCTTATGGACCCAAATGAACCAAACTCACACTAGAATACCATTTTATTGAACACAAGACAATACTCTAAGCAGCTTGCAATACGAACCATTATTACACAAGATGATGGCGTGACGTACATACAACATGCAGATCAGGTACCAGTCACGGGGTAAGAAAGAAAGGCCTGGATGATGCTATGGCCAGGAGCTTGCTACTGTTAATGTTAAGATTGGCACAACAGGAGTTTTGCAATAGCCCCATGACTGCAACTTCTCAATTTTCGTCCGACGCTCTTCAAGACAAGTTGAGCAATGGATTGGGAGGGAGGGTTAAAATGAGAAGGGTGGGGGGGGGCGGGGGGGGGGGGGGAGCGAGGTGATTCAGCCGATTGATCCAAGAAGTCAGGGCTGGGGAATCACAAGGCTCTCAGATCCAGAGCCTGAACCAACAATGTGCCTTAGCCCCAACTGCGGCAATACGAAATTTTCATCGTCAACTCTTTCTCCCCCACCTCACCCCCCAATCAAACCAATCTAAAATTCATTCACCTTTTCTTAATTATAAAAAATGGCAGGGCATTAATAAGGGAAGCCATCAATTTGCCTCCAGGACCCGTGGATTCAGAGAGTGTGGGGAAAACCTGGGAAGAGGGGTAGAAATTCCTTAGAATGGAAGCCACTCCCGTTAAATAGTACTTCTCGTCTCTCATTGGCTGGACGGTGACTTTTACTTGGTTCCCCTTACTCCTGAAGTGCTGGGGGTTTCAGCCAGCACTCGGCTTCACCCCACAGCAATACTGCCAACTGAGCACCAACAGTCAACATTTAAAACCGCAACGTCAGCATTGATTAGTGGCAAAATGGGGCAGTGACCAAACCTGGGATACACTGCCAAACACACTATGAAATGCATTGCTGCACAACATTTTAATGAGGCCTGGCTCTTTTCCCCCTTCCCTTAAAAGAACACACGTCAAGTTCTTTTTTAGGAAGGTAAGTGTTCCTTCAAAAAGGGACAAAGTCAGGATTGTGGATGATTTTTGATAAAGTGCTTAATATTCTCCCTCACTAATTTCTCCAGTCTGGCTCTTCTCCTGAATGTTTTCGGACACTTTTCCTTTTATTGTCTTATGATTCCCCAGGCCCTGCCTGCCCTCCTTGGCCAAGTGAGTAGGTGTTATTTATGTGCGAAGCTCAATAGCGAGATTGACTGCAAGGGGCACCATTGCCTGGCTCAAACATGTCCTCACCCAACTACTTGGCACATACACCTCCATCGGGGCTCTCTAGAGAAGTCAGGAACCTCCCTGCTATTTTCCCCTGGAAACAGAGTGGTACAGGTAGTACGTCAAACTGGGCAGCTTTGTGATTCCATGTTCTTGCTGCATAGAAAGCCCTGGAGCCTGGATAATCTTGCTGAGCCATCAGAACTCAAATGCTGGGTACTGAAGGGAGCCCCCAACTTCTCACCACACTATAAAACATCTGCCATTGATTCTGACCGTTAAACTGTTAACCTCTTCAGCAGAGTCACTCAATTTTTAGCACATGATAAAGCCACCCGAGAGGATGGTCCATTAATCTCTGCAGTAAAATCTTACAAAAGTATGGCTTTGCAGTACGTTTAGCATTATTTTAGGAACAAGTCTATCTACCTATTTTTTTAAAAATAACAGTGACCCCATTACTTGAAGGGAGGACCATCTGTGGGATTTACGAGCCCAATGCAGGACTTTTATCACAAAAACCATGCAATAATAATTTAAGGGGTTTGGAAGTCACTTGGGCCAAGATTGCACACAAGAGGATTGGGATTTCAGTGAAGACCCTTCCACCTCCCCCAATGCTGCAAGTAGCAGACATCGCCCCACCGACTCCCACAGAAACCCAAGCGCATGCGGGCTCATGGCATGCCAACAATGGAATTCGGGAGTTAAGCAGCCCGATGGGATCACTTCCTAAAAACACTGGGTCCCAGGTATGTGTTGAAGATCCGCTCTTGTGTTTCCATGAAGCGGGGTTACTTGCACTTGAACTCTGGCTTTGAGGTAGGCTACCCATTCTCATCACCTTGGAGAATATTGCTGCTCCTTTAAGGTAAAACCACTACGTCATGTCACTTGTTGGGAGAAATGGGAGTAGGAATTGTTACAGTTGTGACACGAGTCAGCTGCTATAGGTAAGTGATTGGGTACATTCTAGTTACTGCACTACACGACAGAGAATAGTTAACTGGAGTCAATAGTTAAAATACGTCACCACGTTTTACATTGCCCAGATAAATCAACTTTAGACGTAAGAGCAGTTTGGCACAGAGTACTCTATCAAGCTGTGCCCCCCACAGGATAGGTGACCAAGGTTATCCATATTTCCAATTTTGGGTCAAGAGGTGAGGATCTGGATCATGACTGGGGGGCAGGGAAAGAGATGGGACTCTCTCTCGTTCCATCTTTCCCTTAGCAGTGAGAGAGCGAGAGGAGAGAGAGATGATGCCAACATGCACAAACCCATTGTTTGCTATGGATGAAATCTGATGCCGTCCTATTCACAGTGAAGTGGGTGGCCCTGAATTCAAAGCCATTCTATCTGAAGTTGATTTATCAAATGAAATTAAAACATGGTGATGAGGCCTCATGCCTTTTGTAAGATGCTGCACCTCCTCAGAAGCCAGACTCCACACTGAGACTACGCCGGTTAACGTGCTCAATTTGGCCCGTGATGTAGTCATCGAAGTGGGTCTGGTATTTCGCTAACATTTTCAGCAAAGGTCTCAGCTTCAGCCACCACTGCTCCTTCGGCATCCGGTGCCTGTGGGATGAGGGCAAATATTCCGGGGTTACATCTCGGTCAGGCCAAATCACTCACAGAAATACTGAAAAGTGCTATTCCCACCCACTAATATCAGCTCCAACCTCAATCAGGGTTCCAATCACTGCGTTATGCATGTTCAGTACTTTTAGTCTTCATCTGTCCCAATGATCATTCCAGAATCCTTTGACCCTTCCCCTTTTGACCTTGATTCAGAACAACAGTTTGCAACAGTTATATAGCACCCCTTATGCAGGATAGCATCTCAGAGCCCTGGACAGTGGCGTCAGAGGTGACCGTAAGCACTGTTGCAGAGGAAGGGCTTCAGACATGACTGGAAGATGGGGAAGGAGGTTGACATTTCTAAAACCATTGTCTCCCACTTTGTGACACTGTCCCGGCTGTTTCTATACTGGTATTTGTGTCAGTCAAACACACACTTTTGAACGGTACTGTGCTGTCTGGTTGTTTGAAGTCCGTCAGGAACAGCAGGGCAATACAATACAACACAACTCAACACAACTTGCGTACCAGAATTCAGCTCTACTTACTCAAAGTCAGTTAATGCCTTCAGTTGTGTCACTGGCCGGAAGACTAGAGCTTTCCTGTCCATCCCTAGGACACAGGCCGTATCCGGAGAGTTAGCAAAGACTTGCCCTGTGCAAGAGACAAAAGTAATTGCTAAGTGATGCCTTTGTCGATGCTCATGCAAAAAGGAGTTCCGATAAAACAGAATTTTATTAACTTCTTTGTTGCTGAAATCCCTATAGCACATAGTAACTGTTTGAGGCAGGAATAAATCATCTAGCTAGCTATTCATTTCCCAAATAATTCTTTATGGCACATCTTTCATCACAAATAACCACAAATCCTTTTCATTCTCATCTAGTTCCTTTTTGAAACCCTTCCTAGTTCCTTGATCCATCACCTATATCATCAGTTTGTTCACACGCCTTTCCTTCAGACCGGTAACAAGTCTTGCTCTAGACACACATAATAATAATATAATAATCCTTGCATTTGATATAGCGCTTTTCACATCTTCTAGACGTCTCAAAGCGCTTCACAGAATATACTATAAAGTGAATTGACTGTATATTTGTGGGTGAAATACAGCAGGCAAATTGCGCACAGCAGTCTCCCACAAACAGTCGTGGATTGAAGTGACCAATTTATTATTGTTTTTTTTCTTGAGGGATTATTATTAGGCGTGTGGAGTAAGGAAACTTGCCCAAGGTTTCATTCTGCCAGGAATTGAACCCAGGTCTCTTGCTTGAGAGGCAAGTGCTCTAACCACTGAGCTACAGGACTCCACATCACATAACCTGCACGTTCCATGGTTCTACAGGCATGTGTGAATGGCTGCACTTAACAGCACTGTTCCAACATTGAGCTGGAGGAAGTTGGCTCTCGTTCAGAACACAATGTCAGACAGACAATTAGCCAGGACATCAATGGTCCTGGAGTCGAGGGTGGAGATGGCAAGATAGTGTTTGGTGTCATCCACGTACACTGACCCCATGCCTGTGGGAGCATGTATAGATTGAAGAGGAAGGGACGAGGACAGAGCCCTGAGGGACGCCACACGTGACAGTGTGGGGGCTAGAGGAGAAGACGTTGGTGCTACGAAGTGCAGACAGGGGGAAAGTTAGGATTGGAATCAAGGAATGGAACCTCTTCTCATACGTGATTTCCACTTTATATTTACCTTTTCTACTATGTGTTTCAGCTTCCAGTCTGTGGTATCTTTCTGTCTTGTTGCTGCACTGATTACTCTACAACTTGTTCTAAAGGCTCCTTTTCCACGGACAATGGGCTCACTTGTCTTTAGCTTTACTCCTGACCCATTGTGTAAAAAGTTAACTTATAGTTCTCTGTGCATGTCTTTTCCCTCTGACAGTATAGTGGCAGAACTAGGCAGTTTAGTCACAGTTTGAAATCCTGCAATTCCACTCCTGGTTGTTCCCCTCACCCCCACCCTGAGCTGAAAGCTGGAAATCAGGTGAGGGCAGAATTGGACTTGTTTAAGAAGCTGCTCCCCCCTCCACTCCTGAACAGTTGAATAGCTGCCAAACTCACAGTCAAGTCTCTCACATAAGCCGTGTATCAAAACTAGTGGAAGGAAAAGGAGTCAAATGCCTTAATAGGAAATAAGAAGCTAAACATAAAACAGTTCAAACAAAATCCTACTACCTAGAGGTGGCTGACATCTAACTTTGTATGAAATATTCGCTCAAATGAGTGGATTACAAACTACCTTTCTTGTAGGTCTCCTTCATCGTGTCAGTCAGCCACAACACAGCCTTCACACCCAGTTTAGTTCCAAAATTCCTGTCGAATGCGGTTGGAGCACCTCCCTGGAGGCACAGGAGCGAAGTGTAAATATAATAATAGCTCTTGCATTTGATACAGCGCCTTATCACGTCATCGCAAGGTCTCAAATGCCCCACTTTACTGTGAACTGTAGCGATTGTATTTTCGAAATGGTACCAGTAGCCAATTTGCGCACAGAAATGTCCAACAACAGACGTGAATAGAATTTTTATTTTTCTATTTTTATTTGCATTATAATCAGATCTGGACAACTAGGGCCAGGACACCAGGAGAAATTATTTCCTCTTTTCGAACAGCAATATGGGATCCTTACATCCACCTGAACAGGCAACGGGAACCCGGTTCAACATTTCATCCAAAGGACTGCGCCTCCAACAATTGGTTCAAAGCTCCAATGTGGGACACGACATAATAATAATAATCCTTGCATTTGATATAGCGCCTTATCACGTCTTCTAGACGTCTCAAAGTGTTCACAGAAAATACTATAAAATGAATTGACTATGTTTTGTGGAAGAAACGCGACAGCCTATTGCACACAGCAGTGTCCCACAAACAGTCGTGGATTGAGTGACCCAATATTTTAAGTGATTATTACCCACTGAAAAGTGATCCGTCAATTGACTAACAACCAGATTCCTACTTACTGCTAAGTAACAGAGACATGTGGACCAAGGAAATTTGCCTAAGGGTTCGGCTGCTGGGAATCAAATCTAGGTGGTCAATTAAAACACTCTTACCCCACAGTCTAGTAACATGACCAAGGAATTGCCCATCACGGAGCAGCACAATCGGGTGCTGTACAAAGCAGAAGCAATAGGCCAGGCGGCTGAAGTTACCTGCTGCATGTGACCGAGCACATTGGTGCGACAGTCAAAGACGCCCTTGCCCTCTGCGGAGTACAGGTTGTATAGAAATTCCGTGTTGTAATACTGGTGACACTTCTCATTCCTTTATGGAAGGAAAAGGAAGTTTAGTCGGAATATTTCTGGGAATAAGTGAGGATCCTGCTTACAGGCATCTGTCAATAGCTCATAGGATGCGTAATAAGAGAGGCTGCCCTTCCTTGGTTTAAAGTCTTATCTAAAGGATAACCAATGCAGGGCTCCAGCAGTACTATCAACTTCCACAATGAGCTGAAGTCCCAACAAGGGGCTTGAACCCACAACCTTCTGATTCGTGAATGTTACCAACAGGGCTGACAATGAATGCTTGCCCATTCTCAGCCACAAAGTGTCTCAAATGCCTAACAAGTGGGTGAGTACCTGACAGGTTGAACTGCCATATCACCACTTGTTATAGGGTTAACACCCAGCGCTAACCTGCCTTTCTCCCTCAGGAGAGTGTTAACCTGATGGGCACCTCCAGTCTTACAGTTCCAGTTTACGGCATTTGCAATTTTAGCTCCTCAGTCCTGCTGTACGCTGCAGAATACTGAAAGGCAGAGGTGTCTGTGATACAGAGTTGCTCTTTACAGAATTTCTGAAGAGCTTTCTCCTATTTCTATATGTCCACAAGGCAAAAACATTTTGCCTTGTGGACATATAGGAAGAGGATATTTGAGCCTGTTGATCTATTAGATCTTCTAATCCCATTTCTCTGCTTCTTCTCCATATCCCTTAACACCTTTAATTCCAATAACCCAAATATTTATTCATCTCCATTTTAAAACATCCCAATACATTCTCCCTCTATTGCGTTTGATCACGCCTTATCACGTTGTTGAGACATCTCAAAGCATTTCACAGGATATACTGTAAAGTGGATTGACTGTGTATTTTGTGGGGCGAAACGCAATAGGCAATAGCGCACAGCTGTGTCCCACAAACAGTCGTGGATTGAGTGACCAAAAGATTTTTTTTTTTTTGAAGCATTATTACCCCCGGAAAGTGATCTGCCAATCGACTAACAACCGGGTTTCTATTCACTGCTAAATAAATAGAGGCATGTAGCGCAAGGTTTCGCCCTGCCTGGGAATCAAACCTGGGCCCTCATTTGCTAACCACTATGCTATGGGATTTAAGAATACTTAGCCTGACATTTACTCGTGCCCTTCAAATTAATTCCCTCTGCCATCCTCTACTATTGTCTGTCTTTCTTTAGAATGACAAACCTGATCACGAGCCCTCGCTGGATCGTCGTTTTCATCTTCCCAGTGAGATGCTCCACATTGGCCTGTGGGTATGAGGAAGCAGAACTATAGTAGCAGAAGCTGCCATCACCATTCAAAGCTCAGAGACAAAGGCTTTGGGTCAGATATCTCTCTGTGTAAAATATACTCTAAATGTAAAACTGGGATTTGTTTATCTTTTTAAGAAAAACAAGTGGAGAAGTAATCAATCCCTTGTTAATACGCTGAATTAATTGTCTGAAATTAACACTGGGGGTGGATTGTGTGGCATGCATTCTGTTCCATGTGTAAATACCCGTGTGAAAAGGTGGCCTTAATTATGTAATGATCAATGAGAAGGATTTATTTGTTGGGTAATTAATGACTGATCCCTTTATTGGGGAATTCCACAAACAAGGGAACCTGTTAATCCCTCAATCCATGCGGCACAGAGCCTTTGTTCCCTGAGAAAATGATATCTCCCTTTTCAGCTTCTGTTTGCACCTCATTGACTCACCTTCAGATCGTGAATGTTAATTGGCTCTTCAAAGACGTACGCGGCATCGGCTCCCACTGCCAGGGCCGTGGCAGAGGCCAGGTAACCACAGTAACCACCCATGGTCTCAACAATGAACACACGCCGTTTGGTGCCTGAGGCAGACTGCTTGATTCGGTCACAGGTCTAGAGAGGAGAAAATACCTGGCACATTAACAAACGGTCATAGTTTCAAAACAAGGACAACAAAAAGTCACCGAGAAACAATAACTTGCACTTACATACCGCCCTTCACCCCAGACAGCATCTCGGAGCACTTAAGAAAAGCTTAACAACCGAAAGTCAATAAACAAACGGAACAAGATGTGGTGGAGTAAAGAACTATAAATTGTTCCAAAAACTAATTAGCCAAGTTCCTGAAAATGAAAGGGATTCAGGGATATTAGATGATGATAACTCGACATTTGGATTTAGGTGCACTATACAAGAATTATTTTTAACAATATCGTTTAATAGTAATCCTTGCATTTGATATATCAAATATTTTGTAGGTGAACACGTATAACAGAGTGGCCATATATGCAAACGACCAGAGTGGTGGGAAACAGTCTACTAGCTGTACTGGTATTATAAGCAAACCCTCCGGTTTTCATTTACCTCCATGGCTGCGTTGACAGCAGTGTCACACCCGAGGCTGAAATCGGTTCCGGGCACATTGTTGCTGATAGTGGCCGGGATCACACACATGGGAATGCAGAGCTCTTCGTAGTGTCCACGTCCCTCCGTGAGCTGGAGTGCAGCCACGAACGCCTGTCACACAAATACACTCGGGTGAACATATTCCCCAATAGCATTATTATCCGTATCATTGCACCACTTCTAATAAAGGCGCCCCCTGGTAATGCTAAACTGATTTTCCTCTTTCGCTTCCACTTTTTCCGGCATTTTAATTTCAGATTCCCACAAGCTGAGCTCTTGCCTTGTATCTGCACAATCCTGCAGAGTTATGGCTGCAATGCCATTCAGTGGTCGGTAAGGTATCTGGTGCATGTGGAAACCCATCAGCGCTGTGAAAACTCAACATTGCCACCCACTGCGGTCCAATGGTACTGTAGCCACGTGTAAAATGTACGACAAGCAAACAAAGGGATTTGCCACACTTAGTCTTAAGAATGTGCCCCCTTTAATGGAACACACCAGAGAGCAGAGTTTACATATAATAAATATACATACATTATATATTCCCAAAGTGGAACACTTCGGTCTAATTCGGTTACTGGGGATGAGCAGGCCTACCCTCGCTCACTAGTAAAAAAAATACATTATGTATCAAATATTTATATAAAGCAAATAAAGCAGAGAAGGGAATTACTACAGAGTTTAGTTCCCTCTGCTACACCCAACAGTGAATCCTTAACCTCACAAGAGCAACTAGTGAGCCATTGCAATCATTCATACCAGTTTTTCGATTGGCCTCTCAAGAGTTATGGCAAACTACTTAATACCGCAGAGAGCTGGGCTGAAGCTGCGATAGCCACATTGCACCTAGAACCCACAGGGTGAGGGGCAAGCTTTCAGCTCATCACTTTGAGCCACACTGTACTCAGAAATGAAAGGCTCTCACAATGCACCTCCCCAGTCCTGTTGTTTCTAACCTCCAGCAGAGACTGAATGTGGCCCTCACCTCAAAGCCTCCGATGATGAGGATGCCGTGAATGCTGAAATTGCGGATCTGCTCCAACAACTTCTCCATGCACTTTTCAGGGAGCGTTCTGCAACAGATCAGAGCAGTAAAGGCAAGTGAATTCAGGCAAACGTTTCAACCCAACAGGGACAAGTAAGTCTGACCTTCTACTTGAAATAAAAGAACAGGCTCGGTCATGTTTCTATCACCCAAAAAAGAGACAATTTTTTTTAACATTTTAAAAATGGAACAGTTCTTATAATGAAGATGTAACGTTTGCTATTTTTAGGAATAACAATATAAGAAACTATGGACAGCATTACTCGAGAAGGAAATGAGCTGAACTATCAGGCAGGGAATGACTCCATTGCTCAAATGGGACATGTCTGACCAGCAGCGAATGACATGTCAGATTCTCCCACATGATTGAAGCAAATGATTTTATAAATCCCACCGCAGTGGAGCCATGCTCTAACTCCCTGAGATTGCCTACACACCGGGTTTCTGATCTCCACTGTTGCCTGGCACAAGGAGCAGGGATCAACAGAACCTCATGATTGGAAATGTGAAGGAACAGTTTTTTTAAAAAAAAATTAAGCACAGAACTGCTTTAATGGAGACTGTACGTTGGAAAGCGAGTCTCAGGTCTTTACGGTTCTTGAAAATCTAGTTGCTCAGACAGTGCGACCAATAGGAAATTCTTTACAACATAGAAAATGTTGCAAATGTACAGGATGATGAAAAACTGATATGTGTTCAGAAAGATAAAGGGGTCTCTGCACTCAACACCTCAGTCAGGCACTGTTCACGTACAATAGGGATTCCTCTGTGTATCTGGCACCATAAAACATGGTCCTCACAGAAAAACTCCTCTTTAAAATAGTTCTCGGCAACTCCAACATACGTTAACCATTGGGAGAATATCATTAGCATTTCCTATTAAACTAAAGGGTTTTAAACATTTTTTTAAATTGAAAAACCAAAATCAGATTGTTATCTTGAAAACAATCTTATAATTCATAAGTTGAAGCACAAAACATCAACGTAATTAAGAGGAAACTTGATGCATACATGACAGAGAAGGGACGAGTATAGGTGAGTGGAATAGGAAGGGGTGGGGACTGGTGGAGAATATAAACACCAGCGTAGATTGATTGGGTCGAATGGCCTGTTTCTGTGCTTTGATATTCTATGGAACTGATGTTCCACATTATTAAACATTTCTGCATTTCTAGCTTTCAAATGCAGATCATGACATTTAAAGCAAGCCAGCTTTTCAGAGACATTCTGTGCTCGTTAACTGTTCAGAGACCGAAGGTTGCAGAGACTGCACTGCCTCTTGAAGACAATTAATGTTCAGTGCCCTAAATCCCACGCACCGTTTAGTGCCCAATAGTGAGCCACCTTGTCCAGTCCAGCCTCCGACATCACGCCAGCTCATTTCTTTAATCTGTAGGGGAAATTCAAGGAATGCAAAGTTTAGCAGTTTTAGAGTAAAGTTCTGTCAAATAATAATAAGCTTTACATTTGATATAGCGCTATTTACATCAGGAGGATATCTGAAACATTTCACAGGATTTATTGTAAAGTGGAGCAACTGTTTATTTTGTGTGCAAACATGTGGCAATGTGCCTTACCCCCATGTTTCACAAGAGCACCCTCACTGAATCAGTGTGCGTTTCTACTTTCTACACCAGCCACCCGTCTAATTTCTGCGAATGACATTGGTTGTGAGCAGGTCTACACAAACAAAAAAAACACTGAGCGATATATATCTTGGTACCAAGTGGGGAAGTGAGGGGAGGAAATGTATTGCTGGACTAGCACTGTAAGCCCATAAAATGAGAGAGGGGTATTAACTGATCTTGGCTCAATTGGTACCACTCTCGTCTGTGAGTTAGAAGGTTGTGGGTTGAAGCTGCACTTTGGGACTTGGAACCCATATAGCCTGTGCTGATATTCCAACGTAATGCTAGGGATGTGCTGCATTGTCAAAGATCTTGTCCTTTAGACGAGATATTAAACCGAGATCCCATCTTCCTGTCTACGTAGACTTAAAGATCCCACTGCACAACTCAAAACGTGAAGGAAGTGTTTCCCAGTGTCCTGGTCAATCATCACCCAAACAAAATTGGTCATTCACTCAATGGCTGTTTGTGAGACATTGCTGTGTGCAAATTAGCTGCCACATTTGCCCACACCACATTACAGTAAACTCTGTGAAGCACTTTAAGACATTGCAACAATGTGATAAGGTTCTATATTAAATGCAAGGATGATTATTCTGATAATAATAAGCATAATCCACTGCAATAATTAAATAAATTAAAGAAATAATGCAAAACAGATAACAAAATAGTCAGTAATGAACAAATGCACCATTCAGTTAAGTACATTAAGAAACATTGCCCAATATTTCTGTGCGAGCAGACAGTTATTGATCTGCAAAAGCCCCCACTTTTTGAATCACTATACTGAATCATTCCTATCATTTTCCTGGTCTGATCTGTATGGCTCAGAACCAAACCACACGGTGCATTTACCCATAGAGCTACAAGCAGACTTCACAGTCGAAAAACCTCCATTATCAACTTGTGAAATCAGGTTGCTTTGACCATTTGTGTGAACCAAATGGCTCAGGCATTCATTTGCCCTCCACCTACAGAACCACAGAGCCACCTACCTGTCCAGTGGAAAATCCTTCAAGGCCGTCACTAACAGCAAAAACTTTGTGTCCTTGTGACAGTCCAACTCTGACTGCCGATCGGACTGCGGCATTCATCCCTGCAGCAGGAGCGCCAATGTTCACGATGGCAATGTTGAAATTACTCTGCAGCAAAGACAAAGTTCCAATAAGAGCATGTGTAAATATCAGCACCACATCCCAATATTCTCTACAGGATCAAGGACACAGATCTTACATATAACTCAAGTGAGCACTGACAATGGGACAAAGTGTTCGAATTTCAGTGGGTCCTTCCAAAGGCAATAAAAGAAGCATCAAGAGGTCTGAAATTTCATCTTGCCTTAGCCTGTGAGACAATTTTGTCATAAAATTTGACATTGCGCTAGATTGTGGAAAATTCTCGAGTCTAAATTCAGAAGTCAGTTTCCCCAGTTCTTCATCCTCTCCTCATGGGTTGTACCCACCCACCTATTGGTCCAATGACATTCAACACTGTCCCCACGAATTACTCTGAAGTTTTACCCTTATTGAAGGGTGCAAAAAGTCTGGGACACATTACTGTGGAATACACACGATTCCTTCCTAAATGTTTAGAACTGAGGAATGTTGTACAGGCAGAGCTGCTATGAAGTGCCTTTACCTTGGTTGGAGCAGGCTTCTGGTGAGCCAGCAGTTTGTAGATGTTCCAGTTGTTCTCGAAGCTTCTGCAGTCAGCAAACAAGAGAATCTTTCATTAGGATTCAGAATGAGCTCCTTAGATTTGGGCAACCTTACAATCCTAGGCTCAAGGAGTGTTTAGTTTTTTTTGCCTTTGGTAACACTTAGTTCAGAATGAGAGATAACAATAAGTCAAATCGGGACTACCCCTCTTTCCACAAGAGGGGGAGAGGGCAGAACCATCTACCAGCATCTAAATATTTTCTGACCAAAACTAAAATTGTGAATAGATTAAGAAGCAACAACACAAAGGAAATGGAAGAAATAAAAGAAACTAAACAGAAATCATTGCAACAACTTCAATTCCTGGCTATGAGAAGCACACAGACAAACTGAACTGTACTGAATGGAGCACGATCACAGCAGCATTGAGTACCAGGCAGTAACCCATAGAGAACTCAACATAAATCAATTACCTGCCACGCAACTGGATGGCCTCTTCAAACCTCTTCTCATCCATCGCCTTCTGAACATCCTTGGTCTTCAAACGAAGGCAAAGAAGAGAGTGAGAACCAGGTTACCATTTCCAAAAATATTTAGTAGTTCATACAGAACAACAACAACAACAACAAGATTCCATTTATAAAGCGCCTTTCACGTCAGGAGGACGTCCCAAGGCGCTTCAAACCAATCTTTGAAGCAGATTTGTGGGGAACAAGAATAAATGTGATGTTTTTTAAGCATTGCGATGCTCTCCAATGTTGGGTGCATGGACGTGTGCAGAGCCAGGCTTTATCACAAGAGTACCACATGCTTCGATTTGGTGATGTAGGAATGTTCTCCAGCAATGTTGAATTTTATGCCAATGCTGGAGTGACAAGGTCTCAATGTACCAGTAGATTCTGATATACTAAAATGGTCACAGTCCACTTTACAACAGAGCTTCTGACAGAAGGCCACAGTGTTGTTGCTTTAAACACTAGATGCTATTGCAGTAAGAATGGCTTAATGGGCAGAGCCTTTGACAATACCTTGCTTCGTAGTAAATCGTTTGTGTACCTTCAGCCAGGATTGAAAGGGAAGAGCTCCCAAATCCTCTTTAGAACACAAAGGCGATTAAATCCTAGGGGAGGAATGCACAGGCAGAGGGCACAGTGAGAGTCCTGTGTTCATGGCCTGATGGCTCCGGAGGAAAAGGGGATTGTAACATTGCCGAAAGTAGCCGAAACCTCAGCTATATTTGCTTTTAAACTCTGAATTCTGTAGCATTTGAGATTTTGTAGCTTTGCCCCTTTTTAAAGAAACACAATCCAATATAATTACATAGAATCTACAGCAGATACAGACCAATCAGCTCAACTAGTCTCTGCTGCGAGTACACCACATGAACCTCCATCCAACCTAACTTCGCCCCGCCCTCCCATACCCTCCTCCTCCAGCAAATATTTCACAAGCAGAAAAATCCCCCTCCCGATGTATCTGATTTAACACACTGTTGGGTTAGGAAGTTATTTGGGGTGGGGTGATTCCTTGCAACATATCCACAATGTAATTGACACATAGAACTGACCAGCTCTGCTAGGCTGCTCACACCGATCGACACTCACCAGTTGCACACACTCCATGAGCGGCAGCCGCAGGGCTTGGTTGCCGGAGAGGCTGACGACACAGGCGGAGGTCTCTGGCGTGGCTTCCAGCAGAGCGAGGATGGCTTCCATGCCCATCTTGCTGCTCTAGAGAGCGTGAGAGAGAAAATGAACACCAAGCAAGGCCATCAACATCATTCTGTGAAAACAAAGAGAAAACTGTCCCCAACAGACTGCTTTTTCAATCACGGCAGAGATCTTGCAGGCTCTAGGTTATTTGACCTCCAATTGTGGATAATTTTATCACTCCACCTTCCGCCTTCGCTCTGTATACAATTCCTCTCGCTTCACTACTGAGAATCCCCTGAACCTCCATCGAGCACCCCAGCCAACGCCAAGTTACTCGCCTTCCACATCAGTGTTGATGCCACCACTCCCAGAAAGGACAGGATTTTATATATTGTAGCAATAGCAGAGTGACCAAAAACATAGTAGCAGTAATAGACCTAAACAGAATGCACTGCAGATCTCCACACACACACACACACACACACACTGGGGGCACTGTGACCTGGTAAAGCATGGGGTGGGGGGTGGCTATGACGTGGGCAGTGACACAAATGAGGACAGCACTCATACGATTTCTTACAACCTACTTTTTACTAAGACCCGGAGACAGCAATTGATGTACGAAGATGTTCAAGGTCAATACTCGAGGCATACACTTACCAGAATTCGATCAAACGCAGAGGGGGTTCCGCCTCGCTGAACATGCCCCAACACTGTGACTCGTGTGTCGAATCCAAGGTTTTTAATGACAAGCTGGGAGGAAATAATAGTTAGTCTGCTGAATAAAGCCTAAAACGCTCTGTAGATAGTGTGTGATTTTTACCATGCTGAATAAACTCTTACTCTTTAGTTACAGTGTGAGGTCAGTAACTCTATACAGTTACAGTGTGAATATTCCAGGACTTACATCTTTGACATAACTGGAACTAATAAGTTTCCCATGGGTATCAATCGCTCCCTCCGCAAGAATGACGATATTCAGCCTGGAGCCTCGGCTGCGACTCTGGAGAAAGGGAACGTAAGGTCAGTCAATAGCCTCAGATATTGACAGAAGAGCTGATTGCATGGGAGGAAAGCTCAGGATTGTTGGGAGAAAACAACTGTGCTTTGAAAAAGTATGAGGGCACAACAGCCAAAAGCAGCAGCCAGTGGAATATCTCTGGATTTATTTCCTATCTATGAGCGTTGATGTATTACAGGACAATGCTCCTGCTATTTTACAGTACAATTTACATTAATAATGAATAATAATCCTTGAATTTGATATAGCGCCTTATCACATCTTCCAGACGTCTCAAAGCGCTTCACAGAATATACTGAAGAGTGAATTGACTGTGTCTTTCGCTAGAAGCAGTCAAAGTGCTTGACAATGTATTCAAAGAGTTTGACACTGCTGGCTTGGCACCGGAACTGGGGGTAAATTGCACTATGTTGCAAGCACCAAAGGCTTGAGAGTTTAATAAAGCATCTCCATCATCGAAACCACTTTTCAGTAGGTGTCTCCAAGGCAACTGTTCACTGTCATGCTCCACGCAGCAAACTGTTGCGATTACTTCCAATGCTGTGCTAACCTGCACTTGTGCCAGCACTGAATATGTAACCTTAAGCAGCCAGCCAGCCTGCCAGCCCAGTGATCAAATGAGCATGTCACACCAGAAAGAACCTGAGGGCATTACTCACAACATGGATGAGTTCAATCTGAACAATCTTTGTGCTCTGAATGTCCTTATTTGAGGCGAGTCTCTGTGAACAGGACAAAGGAGCTTCCCAACTCCAAAGCATGATTTTGTTCTGTAAACCTTGTCAAGTTCAAAAAAGTTCTTGGATTTTGGCCTCCCATTCTTTCAAAGAATAAAAAGATAAGGGATCACCCTGAACTGCTTATATGTCCTTCCTGACCGCTAATTACATCAGGAAGGTCAGCAGTCTCGGTCAATTCCCTGAATGGGAAATGGAGAAATTAAAATGGGAAATGGATGAGGCGAATATAAAAGCCCTTGAGCACACATGGTTTTAGATTTCTGCCTTTCTACAGTATATCGATTAACATTCAGGTTTTTTTTTGAACCAATGTGGTCAGAGAACCCTTACCTCTCCAAGTCTTTTACACATCAATTCCTCCCAGCCATCCTGTGGAGGGGCTTCTGGGATGAAAAGCCAGTCAGCGCCAGAAGCTAATGCAGACACCAGCGCCAGGTACCTGAATGGTTCAGAGAAGAACAACGGAAAATAATAGTTAATGATGTCAACAGAGTGTGATATTGTAATGCACAAGAGGGATTTGATGCTCAATATACTTTAATTGTGCCTCTGCTCTCTGGAACTCCATCCCAGGGAATCTCTGACCCATTCGCTCCTTCACCACTTTTAAAGCTCGCCCACCCCACCCGCCACCCCACCCTCTTCAGCTCCCACCCCACTGGCACAGATGCTCAGCACTTTTAGAGACATATATCTCAATATTCCAGCATGTCATATTGAAAGACAAAATTACATAAAAGGTTTAAAAATGAGCAATCAACTTGAATTGTCGTTTAAAACATTTGGCTTAATGTAAAAACACAAAAGAGTTTCGAAGACTGTAACTTACCCACAGTGTCTGCCCATGACTTCCAGAACAAAGGTTCGCTGGTGACTGTGGAGTGGAAAAACAAACACAGTGTAAAGAGGCAGTAATTCATTCAAAATAGAACAACTCAAAAACCACTTCTCCCCCAAGACCATGGATTGAATCAAACCTCTATCATCAGAAGGAGGTCCCAAGGGAAATTTTCTGCCGTCATACTCGAGTTTCTGGGCACACAAACCCACAACACGAGTGCCCAGTTCTAATCTTACATTTGGCTCACAAAACCACAGCAGAAGGTTGGGCTGATGTGGGGAAGGGAAAGGGACAGCACATTGTTGAGTAGAGGACAAGAAGCTTCCACTTTTACTGAACCCAGCTGGAAATGTTGGGACGTCCACCGGATATGAAAGGCGCTATACAAATGTAATTTTGTTGTGTTGTTGTTGGGTGCTACAGGATAGAAAAAGTCTGCATCAATGTACTTCATTCGAGATGTCCCATGTATAAACAAACAGATGTGTATTACACACCATAATAACAATACAACATAATCCTCATCTTTGAGACGTCCTCCCAAGATGAAAAGTGTTTCATTAAAGTCCTCTCATCAGAAGCAGGCCCCAAGGGAGATTTTCACTGGGGATCAGACTTCACAGGATTTTACTGTAAAGTGTGTTTTTGTAGGTAAACCGTGTGTGCAAAGGGAATTAATGGTGCCTTTAGTTATGTAAACTAGCAATTTATTAATCTTTTTCATTGGCTATAAATACTTAAGGGCAACTATAATTCTCTATTTACACTAGGTTTACAAGTGGTGCACAATACAAATAGTTTGCACATTGTGTACAAGAGACCCACCCCAGTGTAATGGGAGACAAAAACATTTTAAATTTGAGACGCACATCTCTCTTGTACAACTGCCTTACCACGTGAATGAAATATCTCAAAGCGCTTTACAGGATTTACTGTAGAGTGAAGTAACTGTATTTTGAAGGTGAACATGTACCTGATACTTTACACAATCACAGACTGCACTATAGATGGAACAGATGGGAGCAGTGTCTTCACTGTAGACACTGCAGAACAGGCTTTCTGACCATTATAGCCTCAAGTTAATCAGCATCATGTCGCAACTACCAGAATCAGAATTGAAGTTTCTTATTCTATCCCAACAGTGTCAAAGATCAAGTCTGATCCCCAGCGAAAACAATGGGGGGATTCTAATTGCTGTCTCACTGTCCCTTAGTCTTGTGATTTTGTATTTTCTTTATCCAGACACTCTAAAAACATTCTGAAGGGAGCCCATGATGATATTCTAACTCAGACATTTGGATTTTAATCAATACTGACAGTGTGAATTGATCTGAATGAAATGCCTATTTAACGGCCAGTTTTCAGAAAGAAAGTATTTTGAAAGCCCTCGGTTTTAATACCAGAAAAAAAGGCCCCATAGGCACGTTTCGACTCAATTTCTCTCACTCTGCCGAAAAACTAATTGCCGAATGCTTTTCGTAAAGAGGACCCCCCATAGAATGAGCTATGACAAACAGCATATGTGTGCCCCAATAACTCGCCAATACTCACTAGCAAGGCTTACTTGTGAATAAAGGCCATGTGGATGAGGTGTCAGAGAGGGAAAAGTACAACTTTGTGCAGTAGACAGAAAAATAAGTCACACAGAAGAGAAGGAAGGGGAGAAATTGGATAAAAATTGATTTGTTTTATGAATGCATTTGGTCCACATTACAAATGATAGGGCTGTGAAAGCTTAATCGTTAACCTCTTTCACCTCCCATGGAAAAGAATGCTGCCTTTGGCCAGGATACTAATCATTAGCAACCCACAATACTAGCATTGCCGTCGTTTTAAAATCAAAGCACTTTCGAGAGATCTGCTTTTATTTTGAAATAACCTGGAAAGGCACATAACAATCTGCTCTGAAAGCAACACGGGCAATCAATGTTTTCCATGGAAATGAGCCAGTGTGCCATAGCAACTAATCTGTACGGCCTGGGTTTAAAGGTTGGAAAAATGCAAGGTGTCATTCATTATGACCTTCAATCCCCCGAAGCTATGCTGCCCGGTTATCGAACATTGAACTGTTGAACTAGTTTTCATTTGATCATTCCAACACGCTCTTTCTAGCAACAAGTCAATACAGTATTATTTAAACTGAAAACAAATGCTCATTCTTGTATCCCTAACTAAATAGAGATACACGCCATTGCCAACGATAAACACTAACTGCGAGGAAAGGAAAGTAGAGGCTTATCTTCAAGATGCTATCCAAAAAGGCAGGATAAAGGCAGGTGCTACAGAGATAGGTTTCTTGTGAATGGAGCTTTAAGCAATGTACATTGAACTGCTGCAATGATACCAGTGACTATTCTTATATGGTTTCTCTTTTAGTCAGGTGTGTTCTGTGATGGGTATAATAATTATTCCTATTATTTGTTGTGAAAGCAAAACTGCAGTCCATATATCCTATTGCAAATGGAGATCTCCCGGAGCTTCAGTATGCAAATGGAATTGCACAAAAGACGTTCTAAGGAACAACAACAAAATTACATTCGTATAGCCCCTTTCACGTTGGGAGGATATCCCAAGGCGCTGAACAATCAATGTTTCAGACCCGAGCTGGGGGGTCGGGATCGGGAAGGGCAGAGGCACGGTCAAGCAGGAGGATCTTGAAGGAGACAAGGGAGAGGGTGAGGCGGAGGGACTGCTGGGTGGAGGCAGTGTGGCTGAATGCCCGACAATGGTGGGGTGGACGATGTGAAACAGGCCGGAGCCCACTGGGGAGGAAGGAGCAGGCAGATTGGTAGGGATTTAGGAGGTTGCAGAGATAGGGGTGAGCGAGGCCATGGAGGACTTTGAAGTTGAGAACCAGGATCTTGAACTGCAACCTCTGTGTGATGGGAAGCCAGCCTAGTCAGGCGAGGATGGCGGTGATAGGGTCAAACAGTTTGATGTGGGAGACGACACGGGTTGCAGAGTTCTCAATTACCTGCAGCCTGTGGAGGGACGAGTTGGGGAGACCGACAAGCAGGGAGTTTACATAGTCAAGCCTGGATGTTATGAACGCATGTATGAGGGTCTCGGCAGCCTGTGGTGTGCGACAGTGGCGGAGCTGGACGATTTTGCGGAGGTGGGGGAAGACAGAGCGTGTCATGGCACGGATGTGGGGTAGAAGGGATAGTCGAGGGTCAAACAAGACACCAAGGTTCCGGACTGACTTAGTAAGGTGCATCCTTGGATGGTGATACTGTCAGTGCCTGAGGTTTGGAGGTGGTGACGGGAGCCAATCATGAGGGCCTCGGTCGTGTTCACATTCAATTGTAGAAAGTTAGCTCTCATCCAGGACTTGATATCTGATAGACATTCTGTCAGGACAGCAGTGGTCCTGGAGTCGAGGGGTGTTTGAAAGCTTTCTATTTCCAGCAAGGACAGACAATGGGAAGTACGTAGGGTTTGTGACTGATTTGAGATGCTTTTCCAAACTATGCAGGTGCCTTTGCATCACCGCATTGTACTAAACCTCTGACAAGCCAGAGATATCCCAGCAGTAAGAGTGCATATGGTTTGGGACTTGTATCCTTCAAGCTCTTGTAAGTACACGAATGGTTCTGAGGTGTGAGATAGACTGGTTCCAGAGAGGCAAGATGCATTTGATAGCTTTCTATTTCCAGCAGGGACAGACACTGGGAGTACGCAGGTTTTGTATAAGTGGGATTGATCGCTGCTCCTTTCGCCAAGGTTCCACGTTCTCCAATTATTGCAATTTGGAATATTTCTCTCTGGCATGTCTTGCTTGTGAAGCCTTTTTATCCAGAGGAAATGGACCATCTCTAAACAGCAGATCAGAGGCCATTGTTCTCCAGTTGTGAGCATTCTCCAAAGCTCATCACTTTAATGCCTCACAACTCATTAAACACTGGCTGGACTCCCAACAGCAAAGCACAGTACAGCGCACTGTTTGCTGCTTTTCTTTAGAAGGACTATCATGTGGCCACCAAGTTAAAGACTCTGTGTTCTTAGCTGAGGTGAGGACAAAGGGAATGGTGGACCTATTAATTATTTACACTAATGATCTGGTTTATCTAAACAATGAAAATCCTGCAATGAGAAGCCAACATTTCTCCCTTCCCCCCAAATACAAGTGTACTTTTTATAAAGGTCCCACGTTTCTGTCAATGTTTCTCTGTAACCAGCTCCTCCCACACTTCTGCCAGTGCCTCTCTGGGACCAGTCTATCTCACACCATAGAACCATTTGTGTTCTTACAAGAGCTTGAAGGATACAATTCCAAAACCTTATACACTCTTACTCCTGGGATATCTCTGGCTTGTCAGAGATTTAATACAATGCTCTGATGCAAAGGCATCTGCATAGTTTGGAGATGCAGCTCGAATCAGTCACATACTCAACAGCATTAGGAACATAGGAAAACAAGAAGAGGCCATTCAGCCCATCGAGTCTTTTCCACCACTTTATTTAGCAGATATTTTAATCCCAATGCCTTCTCCTCAAGACCCCTACAACCCAAACCCTTTGGCTGGTTTGTTATCTGCACTCATAAGGCCTGTCACCCAGCAGAATAAACTTACCTCTGAGCAGTGGTGGTTATGGCATCAATCACCTCCATAATCCTGTGCAGGGCTGAGTCCGTGCCAATGGTCATGTCTGTCCCACAGAAGTCATTGTCAATTGACCCCACCATCCCAACAATGTTCAAATGGGTGTACTTCTGGGAACACTCTTCTGTGATCTTACCTGAATAGGGGAGGTAAAACTATTAACTTTTATATTCACTGTGTAAGGTTTAAAACACTGGTACAGTATTCTTTGTATAACCCTTTGGGAGCTACTTATTCAGCAGGGAAAAGGTTACTGACTGAGTACTTGTGCAGGAATGGGGAGGAGGTGGAATGGTTAATGCACATTAATATAGGAGAGAAAAGGAGATTCATCTGACACCTGATTGATGCTACTTTGGAAGTTGGTTCATTTTAAAGAACTGTGATAACTGCTGTAAGAATTTTTACAATTCTGTGCATTTACATTTTAAGACGCTAGACTTGCAGTGTTTAAGATCAGGTGTAATTTCAGGCCATTGTACTTTTATTGCAGTATCTGGACCAGTATCTTTGAAACTGATAGTTCCATATTAATGACCACCAGTAATTCTACTGTGTGCTCGCTCACGTACCCTCCTTAACCAGCTCAGCCAGCAGGGAGTTCCATTCTGTCCGAAAAATGTTGGCTCCAGTGAGACTGCCATCTCCTCCGATCACGCACAGGTTGTTGATTCCATGCTGCACCAGGTTAAGGGCTGCTGCCAGGCGCCCTTCACGGGTACAGAATGATTTACATCGAGCGCTGCCGATAATCGTTCCTCCCTAATCCTCGCCAAACAAAAACAATGTCAGCAAAAACAATTACAGACAAACTGATACGAGATGAAAATAAAGACAGTGACGAGCCTGAAGAAAGAAAAATAAATAAAAATGAGTTTTAACTCTTCTTAAAGGCTACTCTTCCTCCACTTTTGAATCCAGAACATGCAGCATCATGCGGCTAAGATTTATGCATCCTTATGTTTGGAATAACACCTTTCACATCCGAAGGGTGTCCCTAAGTGCTTCACGGGATATACTGTAATGTGCAACGACTGTGTTTTGTGGGCGATCATAGCAGCCAATTAGCGCCTAGAAGTGTCCCACAAACAGTCATGAGGTGAATGACGAATTTTATTTGGGGGATTTGTTGGCCAGGACACACCAGGAGAATCTCCCATCTCTTTTCAAATAGTACCAGAGGATCTTTAACGTCCACTTGAACAAGCTTGAACACTTCGTTTAACATCTCACCCGAAGGGCGGTTAGAGCAAAGTATAAATGCAAAGAAGTCACCCGAGCCACATAAAATTTTCCTGTTGTCGGTAAATTGATAGATCTTGATGGGCGAAAACATTTACAGATCAGCTGAGAATATGTTGTTCTCTTCCACTGGTCTGTCATTTTACAGTCTGGAGAATACCACCACCCTTGGTAATCTCAACTTCAACTTTCTTAATCAATAGCTTTCAGTCATGCAAAATACATGCAATGCTATTGCAATGAAAGAAAGCCACGTAACCTATTCTCCCTCCACATGCTACATAATTTAATGACCATTGGATTAGAACTAGTGGCACAGAACCTTAGATGGAGTGTCAACAATGTTGAAAACATCTCAAAATACTTCATAGATAGTACTGTAAAGTGTAGTGACTTTATTTTTGTATGCAAACACAGCAGCCAGTTTGTACTTGGCAAAATCAACAAAACAGCCATGAATTTAATGACCAAAGTTATCTGGGGGATTGTTGGTCAGGACACCAGGAGAAATTCCCTTCGGTTTTCAAACTGTGTTGTGGGATCTTTAAAATCTTTCTAAATATCTAGCAGATGCTGGCTCTCAACATGTATGGGCAGCTCTGTAATATGTTAATTAAGTAGAAGCTTGCCACTGAATTGGTCTGCAATGGCATTAAGTTTGCCAATGGAAGATGTTAAATTCATTCTATAATCAATGGAGCTTTGAAATGTACAAAACGTAAGCAAGACAGTGACAAAAAGTCAGATGAAGGATGCATACCACTTACTGAAAGGCAGATTTATGAGAAAGCTAGGCTGAGCCATGCAATCACTTTACAAATGTTCCAACCAGCATCTCCTACATTTCATCACAGCCATGGCAAGATTGAGTCAATGTATAACAGTGTCACCTTACCATATCACTGCATTGTTACTTTTCTTTTTTGAGGGTAACCTGAGATAGACAGACATAGTGCGAGACAAGAGAGTGGATAGTGACCGTAATAATAATAATAATAATCCTTGTATTTGATACAGCACCTTATCACGTCTTCGAGACGTCTAAAAGTGCTTCACAGATTATACTGTAAAGTGAATTGACTGTATATTTTCTGGGTGAAACATGGCAGCCAATTACACCCAGTGGTGTCCCACAAACAGTCGTGGATTGAGTGACCAAATTATTATTATTAATTTTTTTGAAGATATTATTACCCCCGGAAAAGTGATCCATCAATCGACTAAGAAGGGGTTCCTACTTAATGCTAGGTAAACAGAGGCGTGTGGAGTAAGGAAACTTTCCCAACATTTAGCCCTGCCCGGGGATCGAACCCAGCTCCTCTCGTTGCAAGGTGAGTGCTCTTGCCACTAACCTACAGGACTCCATGTAGCTTAGTAACTTAAGAGAGAGAGAAAAAAGAGAGGAAGCTCATCAGCAAGAGATAGAGAGAAAAGAATAACGAGACGAAGAGAAAGATTAAGCAAAGCAAGCGAGACAGAGAAAACACAGATGAACAAAGGAAGATCCAATAGCTCAGTTGCTGTGTATCAAAACTCTGACCTGTCCCTCATTTTGTTCCAATCACAGCAAGATACCTGATTATTCTGCCCACATAATGGCCAGAGAAGGCTTTATGAAAGAATGTGTAGCGTTTAACAGACATGAATTTGTTTGAATAATTTAACTTGTTTTCTTTCCAAATGCTGGCTGCTATTCCAAGCCTCCCAGGAACGCCTGTGTGATCTTCACCACACAGAGAGTCCCAGATCTCAACCGGGCTGTCAACGAGAGATGTTTAATCAGAGGTGAAGCACTCCCCAGAGGTAGGGAACCCTGGAACAAGGCTGCTCAGTTGGGAATAATGAAACATGGGTGGAGAGGAAATAGCACCAAGTAAAAAAGATATTACCACCAAGTCAGGCTCTCATTCAGTGATTATGCCTCATTTTCTTTTAGCTCAAACCTCATGCATGACCTCATTTATTCTTCAACACTGAGAGTTGACCAATACAATTCTCAGACGTGTGGCTGAATCATAGGGACAGGAGTAGTGATTTAGCCCCTCGAGCCTGTTCCACCATTCTATTAGCTCATGACTGATCTGTACCTCAACTCCATTTACTTGCCTTTGCTCTATATCCCTTGATACACTGACCTAACAAAAATCTAGTGACCTCAGTCTTGAAAATTTCAATTGATCCAGCATCCATAGCCTTTCGAGAGGTGAGAGTTCCATATTCCATCTTCCCTGTGTGAAAATGTATTCCTGATTTCACTCCTAAATATCACCAGATGAATTTGAGCTGTGAGTGACTGCGAAGGGAAGGAAGACTTTCTGGTGGCCCACCTAGACTTCCACCTCTCTCAATGATCCCATCCTCCTGATGATTAAGCTAAGGGGAGCAAGACTGTGGAGGGCTTTAAAGGTGAGGACCAGGATCTTGAATGGTATCCTCTGTGTGATGGGAAGCCAGTGGAGTTGGGCAAGGATGGGGGTGATAGGGCTGCGGAGCCTGGTGTGGGAGAGGACACGGGCTGCAGGGTTCTGGATGATCTGCAGCCTGTGGAACGAGGAGTTGGGGAGGCCAACAAGCAGTGAGTTTGCATAGTCGAGCCTCGATGTAATGAAGACACGTATGAAGGTTTTGGCGGCCTGCAGTGTGAGACAGTGTTGGAGCCGGGCGCCGTTGCGGAGGTGGGGAAAAGCAGAGCGGGTCATAGCGCAGATGTGGGATAGAAAGGATAGTTGAGGGTCAAACAAGATCCCAAGGTTCCGGACTAGCTTAGCAAGGTAGAGTGTGCAACCAAGGATGGTGATGCTGTCAGCACCTGAGCTGAGGAGGCAAAGGTACAAATTCTCTCAAAGGTGCATTTTTAACTTGAGTCTTGTGTTTATAAATCCTGAACTAACATGGCTCCCTACTACAGTATCTGAACGATAACTAGGTTTTTAGCACAAACCCAAAGCACTTTAGACAGTACTTGTAAACACTGTATTTTTCCCAAGCAAGGCCGAGAGAGCTGTGGAAAGAACAAAATGGAAGGCTGTAAATCCTTCAAGTTCAGTATCTTACCAGCTGTATGATGTTCGAAACACTGTCCCAATCAGCCAACTTCAAGTTCTCTGCTCCATCAACTAGCCCCTGGTAACCCTGCGATAGGAAAGAACGTCCATTACATCCTCACAAAACACTTGGGTCAAAAAAAGCTGTGCAGTTTGTTGTAACGGGGTCAAATGTGGCATGGCCCTCAGGGGATACGCAATACTCCATTTACCAACAAATAAATATATTGGTACACCACCTCACTCTCTTGACTCCTCCACCTCCCATCTTTGAACCCGGAGTTTTAGCAAGTCACAATGATTGACCACCTGACAATCTTATCCAGGAGCTACACAGATGAATTTCCATAAAGGGAAGTAAAATGCAAAGGAAATCAAATAGCAAAAAAGATAATTTAGTTTTTCATGTTTGTGCTGGTGCTTGCTCCCCACCTGCAGCTATCTGCTCCATTCTGATTCCCCTGCTCTCCCTCCCCCTATCACATCTGTATTGTGATAGCTCCCTTGCTGGAACCCTCTTTTCAAATCGCATTGCCCTGCACTTTTTACTGAATTGTTTGGTCAAAGCTCTCTATTGTTAATCCTGTTCCTTTAGCATGCTTCCTTTCAAATTTTAACTCAGTTGTACCTCATGTTCACATAATACTTGAACAGACTAGACTGACAGAAAGACCAAGCCTGACCATCCATACGCATTAGACATATCGACATTCAGATGGAATGAGTCATTACTAGCAGCAAGTTCCCACAGGCAGCCTGATGTTCACTGGATCCTCAGCATTAGAAAACCATGATGGGGCAAAAAAAGAACTGACCTCATACACAAAGTAAACGTCAGCTCCCACATAGATTCCCATCCGTACCACTGCTCGGACTGCAGCATTCATACCTGCAGATCGTATTAGAGTTTGCATTAGTAAAACATAAGCCATCATGTTACATATATAGGTACAAATGACACCAATGAATATTATTCCTCAATACAATCCTCTGTGGCGGTCCCAGTAGTCTGGTTCCTGAGCCAAGCGGGTCCCCAGTATTCCAGGGCATTGACAGATCAGCCAGACTGGCTCAGCGGTAGCGCTTGTATTAGCAGACTAGTCCTGGGAGCATGGATTCTTCCCACTCAGCTCCTGTTAACCCTGCAAGCCAAAGCTTGCCTGGACAATGCTTTAATTTCAAGCTATGAGGTTTTAGCTGGTTAGATTCCCCAATGCACAATCTGTGGTCCGTAAGCCTGGACTCTAGCCAACCTTCACCTAATACTCTCTGTAATTAAGTACCTGGCACGTGTCCCTCCAGGGAGAAAATCCACATTCCATTCCACATGGAAACTTAGGAATTTCCATGTGTAGGTGGCATACATGGAACTCAGTCTGGTTTGGATACTCTTAAGCATGGGGATGGGTTTCTACATGTGGCAGACCCCCAAATGACCATAAAAAAGTATTTTTCATCCAAATCATTCCTTGCTGAAATTCCAGCAATAGCAGCCATTGGGCAACAATCTTGCATTAATTTCTTGTGCTAATAACCTTATACTCACTGGTCATTTATGTGCGATCGAGGCCTTGTTCGCCAATTTCATGCCTAGTAGACAGTCAGGGAATGGGTGATTGAAAAGGAACTTTGTAGCATAGATGCTTCTATGTATGGATTTGTGTCATTATTTTTTTGATGTTCCTCAACAGGGATATTAGGATTTCTGCTGAATACTTCCATAAAATATAAAGAATAGTTTAATGCGACAATACTTGGTCAGCCTAGTAACTGACACATGCAGAAACCCCATCACTGTGCTTAAGACACCAGACACAATTCCACATATATATGCTAACTACACATGGAAGTTTCCTTGTCTGGAATGGAATACAACAACAACAAGATTACATTTGTATAGCACCTTTCACGTCAGGAGGACGTCCCAAGGCGCTGATACACTCTCCCTGAAGGGATGCACACCGCTTACCTAATTCCAGGGAATATTATGCGCAGATTGGTAAGAGCCAAATCTTGGGGACCCCAGAGCATGAATTGGGGTATTGCTGTGATTTTACCGGATAAAACCACATAGCTTGCCATTAACAGCACTGTCTGACAAGCTTCCCCTACTTGTCCAGCTGGCAACACTCGAGCTGTCAGGACTTTAGCTTGAAGAGTTAACAAGAGCTGAGAGGGAAGAATCCCTGCCCGCGGTGACTTACGAAGACATATAAGGATGCAAATTATAGACAGAAATTGATAAGACAAAATTTTGTGCTCAGTGCTACACATGGGTCCACACATCTTCACTGTTGATAAATATGGGTCATTTCCCATTGATTCATTCAGGAGATGCACCAGGTGGTACACAAATATATAGACGAGGAAGATTCACAGTTCAACTCTGATTTGACTGAGTTAGTTCACCTTGTCTAGGGTTGAGGTGGGGATCTCTACAGGTTTAGATGAAAAATTAGGTTCAAAATATGACGGATACTCACTCGTATCACTATATTATGCTGCAAAGTGCATGTATGTGGATCACATGAAGCCAGGATTGGACACGGTTGGGATGGCTCTGTCAACAGACTCACTGTACAAGTTCATGTATTAAGAATGGCTATTTTGGTAACATACTGAATAAAAGGGTTGGAGGGGAAGAAAATTAATTAAGCAAACGTTAATCATGAAGATGTAATTCGGTTCTGTGTTCCCCTGTGGTTCAGAATCAAGGAACACAAGATATTTTAGTTTAGTAGGCAGAAAAGTTTATTAGACCCAAGATACAAAGTCTAAAGTATGTATTCTCATAAGCAACTTCTTTCCAGAAATCTCTTCTGTTTCCTCTTCCCAAAAACCTCTCTGGTTGGGTCCTGAGTCCATTATTTTTTCAAGTCTCCTTGTGTAAAGAAGAGTCCAACTTCCCTTTTTATTCCTAATCTTTTTAATTTAAATCAGGTCTGTTTTGGTTTTAAACCTCTATCATATTAAGGAATTTTCTTGGATCAACATCAACATTCATAGTCTTGCAAAAATATTTTTGAATCCTTAATCCTTCTAATGTTACTAAACCACACAATTGACACTAAAATCTAATCAGCATTTGACACTGGTTAGGCACAAGCTGCATATTTATCTGTGCTTGGCCGCACCCCTCTTCGGCTCCTAGGCCAATGTGATTTCAGAGCAGAAAATATGAATCTGTCTCAATTTAATGTGTTTTTATTACTGGAACTGCTAACCAGGTTATCAGAAAGTGTTTCAGGCCAGGGCACTGGATTCATTTAAGAAACAGCTTGATGCTGTAATGGGAAGACAGGAGGGTGGGTATTCTGGAAACATGAAATCAAAGAAGCTGAAGGGCCTTCTTCATCGTCTGAACCTCTCCAGCCATATATAATCCATCATTAAGTGTATTTATTTTTCAGGAGCTTGTAGGAGTGCAATGACAAGCGTCAAAATTCCAACAACCTTGACTTGAGGTAGGATCCCAGCTCCTGTTTTTATCGTAGAAAAGGTATGCAACTGAAAAGTGATAGAATTGTTTTGCACCACCGATTATGTAGTACTATTTGAAATGCAATACAAATTTACATTTATATGGCACCTTTCACTTTAGAAGGGCATCCCAAAGCACCAGATGGTCTCCTAAGGTTAAATCTGCTGGGTTGGGGAGAAGAGGTAAAGCTGCTTTGTAAAGAGGGGCTGGGGGGTAATTTTTGGAAATCTGCTGAGGAGAGGAAGAGAAAAATGAAATAACAAGTGCATTGCAAAGGGGGGGTGGGGGGGGGGGGGGCAAATCTGCTGAAGGAGGATTAGAAAAGAGGATAAGTGGAGTCCTGTAGCTCAGTGGTTAGAGCACTCGTTTTGCAAGCGAGAGACCCGAGTTCAATTCCAGGCAGGTCACGGCGAAACCTTGGGCAAGTTTCCTTACTCCACACACCTAATAATAATCCCTCCAAAACCAAAAACAATAATAAATTGGTCGTTTTCAATCCACGACTGTTTGTGGGACATTGCTGTGCGCAATTGGCTGCCGCGTTCGCCCACAAATATACAGTCAATTCACTTTACAGCGCGTTCCGTGAAGCGCTTTGGGACGTCCTCCCGACGTGAAAAGCGCTATATCAAATGCGAGGATTATTATTATTATTATTATGTGAATTAACAAATGGATTGCACAGCAGGAGGGTGACAAGCCAATGGCCCAGTGCAGTACCAGTGCCTCACTAAGTGCAGCACCAGGAGCTGTAACTTCACACCAGAGCAGAAATAGCCCCTTTCCCCCCCCACCCTCGTCGTTGATATTATTATTATTATCATTATTATACGACGAGGGAAGAGCAACTGCTGCAATGTTCTGGTGTGTAGCTAAGCAGCACGCACCGCCGTACATGAGCCTCTCCGTGCAGCTCAGCACGTCCGCCCGCGCCGCGCCGCCATCTTTTGAGAGCGGTCAGCGCACCTCGAGCCCCGGTGCCGCCTGTTTGGGAAACGCGTCCGGTCTTTACTCCGTGCGTTTCTCAAACGGATATCTTAACCCTCTCGAGAGTCATTCAAGAGCTTAAGTCTTCCAACGCGGTGCCTCCCGTGATTTTTTTCCCGCTTCTCTTTCCTCCTCCCCCGCCCCTCCTCGCCTCGCTTTGCCAGTATCAAAGATGGCGGCGGGGATTCAAACGCGGAGCCGTTGAAAGGGCGCGAGACTCGCCTTCCCGCCCCCCTCTCGGGCGGGGTCGGTTTCTAACGGCTCGAAAACACACAACTCGTTGCATTGCGAGAGAAGCGTGTGGAGAAGCCGAGGCACAGCACTGAGGGAATCTCTCTTCTCTTCCTCCCTCCCCCTCCCCCTCCCCCGGCCCAACCGCATTCACTCCCAACCCCAACGGCAAATCTTCAGGACAAAAGTAACGTCGCGCAACCGGACGCCCATCGGCTTCCGGCGGCGCGGGAGGGCCTAACCATCAGTGTGTGTTGGCGCCCTCCTGCCCGGTCTGGGCTGCTCGCCCCGCTTCCCTGTCCGCTCGACCCCCACCCCCCCCCCCCCCCGCCCCCCGCGGCCATTGCTACCCGCCTTGACGCCAATGGCGGCTTTCACCTTAACAACGTGAGTTTGAACAGAAAGTTGCGGTGTAAAATCCGCACCGACCTCATTCCCTACACTGCAGCCGCTCCGCCCGGACCCCCTTTTTACACGCTGCAGTTTTAAGACGTGTAACTGGTTTCTGCCCCTCTCAGATCCGAGGGAGAGGGTCACGCGGAAACGTTGCGGTACTTTACAATACGTTAAACCGATTTCTACCCCCGTCAGAGACCCGCAGAAGAGGCAAAAGCTGCAGTAAAATACGGCTGAATTTAACCGAATTCTGCCCTCTCGGGTTTTAAGTCGGTGGAAATTGCTGCCTTTTTTTCCCCTCTCAAACCCGGGAAGTGGGTATCTGGAAATGCTGCCTAAGTAAAAGCTGCGTTCCTTCCACCCTCTCTCCGAAACCCGAGACGGATACTTGGAATCGCCGCGTGTTTATATATAACACACACAGTGCTGCAGCCGGACTCCTGGCCCCTCAGACAGGGCGGGTCTGTCCCTGGAGATGCCGCAGTCCCCCCGACAACTGGTATTGTACCACGGGCTGCGGTATCAACCCAAAGAGGGGCATCTCACGCTGCGAGTAAACTCGTGCAGCTTTCGGGTTTTTGTTTAAAAAAAAAGCAGATGCTTTTGAAGTGACGAGCAGGGGGACGGATGCATAAATGTACCTCTCTCTCTCTATATATATATAGTATATAAACGTACCTTGTGCATCTCCACCACTGGTCAGCACTGCGATGGATTTCCCAGCGCCGCTCCTCCTCAGCTTTTCCATTTCCAGATGAGCCATGATGTCCACTTTGCAGGGTTTTTTTTCTCCCCCTCCCCCCCCCCGAAAAAAAAAAGGGGTGAGAACAAAACCGAGTCCCGCTTTCCCTCCGCAAACTTCTTCTTAGCGATCTGACACCTTTTGCGGGCCACAGCTTCCCAACCACCGCAATCCCTGCCGGTGAACCCCAGATCCAAGTACGTGCTCGGTATCCCCCTCCCCTTTACAAAACGAGCTCCTCGTTATTTCTCACCCAAAATTATATCAGATCGACCCCCGATGCGAACGCGTTGACACCTCCTCGGAGAATTTAAAGATTAATTTCTCTCTCTCTCTGTCTCTCTCTACGTGTGGGAAATTACAACCCTCCTGTCGTACAAAGGAAATACTTTTCGGATGTCAAACGCAGACCTTGAAAGGGGGGGCACAGCCCCCTCTAAAACAAAAAAAAAGGATCACGTTGCAGCAAATAACTCCGCCTTTAGCACGGGATTGGTATGCTTGATTTTACCATTCGCCCTTGGCAGGACCGGGTTCAAAGTGCTGCTCATCGAGCCATGTGCAATCTTCACATGGAAGAAAATTCGCACCTTCGTCTTTATTTATTTTTAAAAAAAAAATATATGAGAACACACTAAAAAGAATACCGAAAAAGCCCGAGGAAGCTGGAACTCATTAAACATCTCTGGCCTGAAAATGGTTTAGCAGATTGTCACAGCCATTAAGCAGTCTTACCTTCCCTTTGCTATCCACCCGAAGACCTTGAAGTAGATGGTGCAAGTCTGGCTCAGTTGGTAGTACTCTCACCTTTGAGTCAGAGGATTGTAGGTTGAAGCCCCCTATTTGGGACATTTGAGCTCAAAGTCAGGGCTGATGCTCCAGTGTAATGCTGGTAGAGTACCGCAGTGTCAGATAACCTATCCTTTGGATGAGACATTAAATGGAGACTCTTATCTGTGAATTTTAAAGGTCTCATGTACGATGTGTGATGACACAAAATACCACAGGATCTCCCAATATTGGTTTTAAGGCAGGCACAATGTCCTGTTGTGAGAGGCCCTGTATAAATTGTAAATTTATATAAATTTGTGGACAAACTGTAAATTTATATAAATTGTAACGTTATATTGTATGTAATATGATGGAAACCTCGCAAAATACCATTTTCTTGCTGATTGTGAATTATGAATGAATGCAATTTCATATGGACCTTAAAGATAACACGACCCCATATCAAAAGAGAAGGGAGTTTCTCCTAGTTTCCTGGCCAACAATCATATGACTAATTAACTTAACGTTTATTGTGGGACAGTGCTGTATTCCAAATAGATACTGTGTTTGTCCACAAAGATACAGTAACTTTATATTAGTGGTGCTCACAAGCAGCCACAATGAAGTCTTACACAGTCACTGCACGTTACAGTAAATCCTGTGTAGCATTTTAAGATGTTACAATGATGTGATAAGGTGCTACGCCAAATAATAAGTTATATGATGTTCTTTGGAAGGAAGCGGCATGATGGGCCGACTGGTGTTATCTCATTCCATGCTTTTGTGGGTTTAAGCCCCATGGAATCACGTAGTCTAAACCAGGTTAGTCCAATCTTTTGGCTGCTGAGGGCTAGATGTCCTTTTGAGAAAAATCTGCAGGCCACTTAAGCAATAATTTTGTTGTTTCCCTTCGAGAAACAAAATATAACATTTATGGGTTATGGAGGAAGCGGGTGGGCCAGATGAAATGGAGGGGTGGATGAAATCGGCCCGTGGGCCGCCAGTTGGACCACCCTGGTGGAGGTGCCGTCCTTCAGATGGATGTCAAACCGGGGTCCCGTCTTCCTGTCCAGATGGACATTAAAGATCCCATGGCACTATTTGAAAAAAGAAGGGATTTTCTCCTGGCCAACAAAATTGGTCATTCGCTCCATGGCTGTTTGTGGGGTATTGCTGAGTGCAAAACTGACCCTCATGTTTCACCCACAAAATATAGTCAACTTTACAATATAACCTGTGAAGCACAATGATGTGATAATACGCTATATCAAATGCAAAGATTATTACTATAATAGCTGACAAAAATAATTGTTGCAAATTATTTTTCTTGCAGGTCTCTTAATGCTGAGAAAAACCCCATAGACTATTCATTAGCTGAAGAAGATAAAATCAGAGGAAGGTTTACTCCCATAAGTGTAAACAAAGCATTGTATTTCCTAAATGCTTAAAAAGAGTTGACTTGTTATCTCGGGTCGCTTGTAGCAACAGTAGAACATTGACCCTATCTGTTTTGGTTGTTTGGCTGTGATCTCTGCTGTTCGTCAGCTCACACAACTTCACAGATTGGTGCTATATTGCAAAAAGCTCCCACTGACCTGGATGCACTTCCTCAGGGAAGGTCTTCCGCTATAACTAAGCCATGACTTGGAAACAACAGTGATTGCATGAGACTTCGTGGCACAAATGTTTCTTTGTTTTTCTGTTAGTATGGATTACGCCCGGCACAATGAAGGGGGAATCCACAGCACCATTGTTTTATCTGAAATAATACTTGTCTGAATAATCAAACAAAACAAGTATACTCAATTGATATGTCTTTTGAGTGACAGTATGATGACATAGATTTGTATATTAAACACACAGCTACCAGGAACTATTTTCCATGTATTTGAATGAAAATAACTTGCACTTCATGCTACCTTTAGGGATACTACCCAGCACTATATAAATTCAAGTTGTTGTTGTTGGGTTCGACAGTACGGCTCTAAACTAACATTTTTGAAGACCAACTAAAAGTTTCTAAACTACAAATGAACTGATGTCAATTTATTGAGAACTCATGGGAACTAAAAGCAGGCAGTGATACATTGCAAGATACAGAGAGGACTTAAAGATATGTAGCTATTAAAACAATTTCAGTCACATGGATTTGTCTGTTTTGTAGGTAACCCAAAAAGGGCATTGAATCTTATTGGTCCAGAGGAAAGACTGATCATTCTATAGCGTTGTTCTGTTTAACATTTTACCATGTTATTAGATTAAAAACATTGATTGTTTAGTTATTAACCATAAATTAAATGTTGATTGTAACAACAACAACAAATTGCAATTATATAGCAACTTTCAGTCCGGAAAAATGTCCCAAGGTGAAAGGTTTGTACTCAAGCTGGAATCAAGAGGGATGGAGTGCAAGTGGGGGCTGGAGGTGGGAGTATGACCGAAAGCACGGTCAAAGACAAAGGTCTTGAGATGGGCCTTGATGAAGCAAGGGAGGGGGTGAGGCAAAAGGAATTCTAGAGAAAAGCTGAAGGCCGATGGTGGAGCGAGTGGGCAGGTGGGGATATGGAGCAGACCATTGCCAGCCAAGTGGAGGGAGCAGACAGATTGGTATTGTTTTAGTAGGTCACAGAGTTAGGGAGGAGCATTACTTTGACTGCAGGAATTATATCCTGCAATGCTCTGTTCGAGTCTGGAGTATTTCTTGTTCGAGGCTAGAATAATTCTAGTTTTGTGTTCACAAGAATTCTATTACAAAGTAGTTGTATTTAAGTAAAGCAGCTTTATATAAAAACATGCATCTTGTTAGATACTTTAAGTTCACATTTAGGTTGCATTCTCTATGCAAAAGTGAGATACAAGCAGTTTTGGCAGATATCTTTTTTTAAAGTAAGAATGGCTTGGGAGGCATAAATATTATTTCATTAGTTTTCTTACTTTAATCACAGTTTCTAGAACAACTAAAATAGCACTGGCATAAGTCATTGCGACCTCAAGGGAAACAAACAATAAAAACAAATTACAATTATATTGCGCCCTTCACGTAGGAAAGATGTCCCAGAGCACTGGACAGCCAGGGTTTTTTGAACCTGAATCTGCGTGGAGAGCGCTATATAAATGCAAGTTGTTGTTGTCAAGGGATAAATGCAACGGGTGGAGGGCAGGGATGTGGGGTTGGTCGGGTGGCCGAAGGCATGGTCAAAGAGGAATGTCTTTAGACAGAACTTGAAGGAGGTAAGATAGGGGGTGATGTGGAGGGATTGCGGGATAGAGTTCCAGGGTGTGGGGACAGAGAAGCTGACTGCCTGACCGCCAATGGTGGGGTGGGAAGTGCGGGGGACCTGAAGCAGGCTGGTGACCGCCGAGCAGAGGAAGCGGACAGGCTGATATGGGGTTAGAGGTCGAAGAGGTAAGGGGGAGAAAGACTGTGGAGGACTTTGAAGGTGAGAACGAGGGTTTTGTACTCGATTCCCTGAAGCCAGGCAAGAATGGGGGTGATTGGTTCCCGGAGCCGGTGTGGAAGAGTACACGAGCTGCAGAGTTCTGAATAATCTGCAGCTTGTGGAGGGAAGACTTCAGAAGTCCATCAAGCAGGCAGTTGAGGTAGTCAAGCCAGGACGTGATGAAAGCGTGGGTCAGGGTCTTGGTGGCCTGTGGTGAGAGGCAGTGGTGGAGGCAGAAAATGATGCAGAGGTGGAGAAATGCGGAATGGTCCTGACACAAATGTGCAGTTTGAAGGATAGCTGAGGGTCGAAAAGGACACCAAGGTTTTGTATTGGTGAGGTGAAGAGTGCAGCCATGAATAGTGATAATGTCAGCAGCTCAGGTGAGGAGGCGCTGCCAGGAGCCAAGCAGGAGGACCTCTGTCTTGGCAACATTGAGCTGGAGGAAGTTGGTCATCGTCCAGGACTTGATGTCAGACAGACACTTAGCCAGGACATCAACGGTCCTGGAGTCGAGGGCAGGCAATGATGCAATGCAAGATTTTCAATACAATATAATATTTGGTTGTAATAATAATAATTCTTGCATTTGATATAGCGCCTAATCACGTCTTCGAGACATCTCAAAACGCTTCACAGAATAGATTGTAAAGTGAATTGACTGTATATTTTGTGGGCGAAATGCGGCAGCCAATTGCGCAAAGCAGTGTCCCATAAACAGTCATGGATTGAGTGACCAAATAATTATTATTTAATTTTTTTGAAGGGATTATTACCCCCGGAAAAGCGATCCGCCAATCGACTAGATTCCCACTTATTGCTAGGTAAACAGAAGCGTGTGTTTGTGGAGTAAGGAAACTTGCCTAAGTTTCGCTCTGCCCAAGACTCAAACCCAGGTCCTCTCGTTTGCAAGGTGAGCGCTCTAACCACTAAAGGTACAGGACTCCACAGGGCAGGAATGTCAGACACTCAGCTGACCACTTTGGGTGGAGGCACTGTCCCTTGCTGCATATGCAGGTGGGGGGGGCGGAGTGGGGGGCACAAGCTCTGCTGGTCTGTGGGGAATGTGGTGTTGGGGAGGGATTGGAGGTGACCCCAGCGGCTGGTCAGAGCAGTGAGACTTTTGACATTGGCGCCAGAGTGAGAGGGAGCGCTGTGTCCCAGTTCCTTACAGGGAGACAGCGCTTGTACTGGTGAATATTACAGTACATTGGAAAATATAATATTGGTTACCTATTACATGGAATCATAATTTTTTTTAACATAGAAGAACGTCATTCAGCACATACTGCCTGTGTCAGCTCTCTGTAAGAACTATGTAATTAGTTCCACTTCTTTCCTAGGAAAATATAAAAATATGTGTTTTTGGATGAAACTGTATCTAAGTGGATAATTGGTTGCTGAATCTTGTCTGCATGGAGCTGCTTGTCTGCATCTTAGCTCAATTGGTAGTACTCTCGCCTCTGAGTCAGAAGGTTGTCGGTTCAAGCCCCACATTAGAATCTTGAGCCCATAGTCTCGGCTGCCAATTTAATGCAAAGTTCGAGGTGCACGGCATTGTCG